CTGGTGCGGGTCTTGGTGGGGGCTGCGGTGTAATGCCTCGGGTCGGTTGAATGGCGTGGTTGCGGTGCATTCCATGGAATCGAGGCGGGGCGGGGTGGGGCGAGTGCAGGTCCCATCCCCGTCGATGCCATCATGCTAATGGCGCCTCACGAGCAGCTGAGCCCGGCTGCGCATGGCGCTCAATTTCGGGTGGGCATATTTTCATAGGCTCACACAACATCAACGGCCACCCAAACTTCTCGTTACTGGCGGGCACGATTCGAAAACTTGCTTCCTCGGAAGTAAGTGAATAGAGTCATTTGCCCTGCTAACCTACATTATTGGCACGTCGACGGGAACGCTAACCTGTAGGTGGGTGACATTTGGGCGTAACTCTGGCTCTTGAGTTTTACGACAAGAATTTTTCTCAACCTTTTGGAAGAGACACGGAATATTTTGACTAGTGCTAGTGCTCCCTCTTCGCCTATAATCGCTCACCGGCACTTATTCGCTGCTCTGTGTGAACCCCCGAATATGGTGTATGTGCCTCTCTAACGATGCCTTTTTCTACTTTGTCCGACAGGTGTGGTTCAGCAACCGGCGCGCCAAGTGGAGACGAGAGGAGAAGGTCCGGGGCCAGCGGCGGCCCGACGTGGCGCTGGGCGGCGGCGGCAGCGCGGCCTCCACGCCGACGGCGTCCACGCCCAACGGCGGCGGCGCGGCCCCCGGTGGCGGCGGCGGCGGCGGCCTCGGCGGAGTGTCGCCCGGGCCGCCCAGCTCCAGCTCGGCCGTGGGCAGCGCGACGGGCGCGGGCGCGGGCTCGGCCTCCGTCAGCCGCCTCAACATCAACTCGAGCTTCAACTCGATGTACTCCGGCATCTCCCAGCCCATCGCCACCATGGCCGACAGCTACAGGTGAGCACGAGAGAAAGACCGAGAGACAGCGACAGAGAGATAGAGAAACAGAGACAGAGAGACAGCGACAGAGAGACAGAGCGCCAGAGAGACAGAGGGACAGAGCTCACACACTTACTCGCTCTCGCTTGCGCTTTTTGTCAAGTCGCAAGTCGCCTCTCTCCAGGAAGCTACTCCTCTGAGCGTGACACCTATGCGCCCGCTCGGCCCGGGCCTCTAGGTCCAGGTCGGGGGCGTGCAGCAAGGTGGGGCGTGGCGAGGCGTAGTTGGGCGTGGCGGGGCGTGGCGTGGCCAGGCGCTGACAGCGGTGAGCCCGTGTTGACACGGCGCGCCCGTCCTGGGACGCCCTCCCCGTCCGCCGCATCGGAACCCTAGTCACGTGCTGAGGTGGCGTGGCGTGGTGGGCGCACCCTTGCCCGGGGGTGTGGGGCGGGGGCCCAGCCAAAGGGCGATACCGACTCTCGCGGCGCCCCTGGAGCAGGAGCACGCCACGCGGAGACGGGTCCACCGGGGCCCTTGGCGCCCGGCCCGGTAGGCAGGGTGCCCCACAGGCGTGCGCCGCGGCCCCTGCCGTTGCCTACCCACACGGCGCTCGGCGCCCGGCCCGGTAGGCAGGGTGCTCCACGGGCGTGCGCCGCGGCCTCTGCCGTTGCCTACCCACACGGCGCTCGGCAACCGGGCCGGGCGTGCGCCGCGGCCCCTGCCGTTGCCTACCCACACGGCGCTCGGCGCCCGGCCCGGTAGGCAGGGTGCTCCACGGGCGTGCGCCGCGGCCTCTGCCGTTGCCTACCCACACGGCGCTCGGCAACCGGGCCGTCGAGCTTGCGCGCAGCGGCCTCTGCTGTTGTCTACCGACACACGTAACGATCACATTATGCTGCTAACCTGTATGTGGCCAATCCAATCGCTGACATGGACTGAATGTGTCAGAACGACAATGACACAAAGAAATTCTTGCTAAACGAAACAGCTCTGTCGACTCGGTCACTTTTTAGGCCCCCGATTAGGGGTGCCTATTGCTTTCGCCCGAAAGTTTATTCTTGACGATGGCCCCTTATGGCAAAACCAATCGTGCCCAAGCTAATTTGATGAAATTTGAATGAAAAATAGTTCAAAAAATTAGAAATTTTTTGAGACATGTTTAATATAATTTTGTCTGATGAAATTTGTGAAATTTGAGTTTGCATCCACGAGTTTCCATAGAAATGACGAGCTGAGCAGCAGGCCGAGTCGAGCCAGGGAAATTTCGACCAATCACAAATATGCGCGGGAAAGTTCAACCAATGGAATCGATCGCCTGTTGCTTTGTACAACCCTATCCAAAAAATTATTTGGCCCTGGCGTCGATTCGGTGGTCGCGTTTCAATAATACTATCGTGCCGCCGTGTATGAAGATGCAACACAGACGCCGTTTTGAACGCGGCCGCTGAGCGCCAGCCACGGCTTTGATTGTTGCCTGGGACGGTAGTTCCGCCTTGTAATAATTTCGTTTGAAAAGGGGCGGAAAGTATACTGATGCAGCCAACCTATAACGGAAAATATATATTATGTTTTTACCTTATTTAAGATTACAAGTATCAACATACAATATAGAACACGTCTAAATGTGTACGTGTTTTTAAAATATGAAACACTTATCAGTGATCTCTTATCTGACGCTGTGTCAGTAATATTTTTGAAAAGTTCACGTTGCTTGTCTTGAATGTAATGGCAGTGTTCATTTGAGCAAGCTAGCTTGGCGAACGATCAGCATACTAAACTTTGAAATATTTCTAATAGACAAATTGTTTAGAATTTTCAGTGTACAGGACATTTACCACCATTTAGTAGATCATTTAATTAAATCTGATCAACATAAGTTTCCTAGATATTTGGCTGCAGTGTACATCAAAATCAGTAACTACCAATGTAATGAATCGTTGTAGTATTATATATGTATACATGCCAGTGTTCACGTTAAAATCTAAGGGGGCCGTTAACGCGTTAGCGTTAGAATTTTTTGTTTTGTTTTCCTGTTGTATCTTGTTTTGCTGGTCCGTTTGTATTATCCTGTGCTGACGTTGTGCCTTTCTCTTGTGTTTCAGCGGCATGAGCTCGATGAACGGCAGCTGTCTGCAGCAGCGCGAGGCGCACGCCGCCCACGCGGCCCACGCCTCGCAGCTGCCCGCGCACGGCTACCCCTACATGTTCCACCACGACGCGCTGACGGCGTACAACGCGCGCGCGCCGAGCATGGCGCACCAGGGCCACCAGGCGCACCACGGCGGCTACGGCCCCGCGCACTCGTCGGTGCCCACCAGCACGGGTGCGTACTCGGGCTGGACTGCGGCCTGGGCGGCAGCAGCGCAGGGCGTCCTCTGAGAGTAATTTTTAAAGTCTGAAATCTTTCTGGAAAATTTGGAAACTTTTTCAGAAAAGAATATGAAAACAATGAAATACTCCTAGGAAAACTAAAAAAAAAATGAAACTTCTCAGGAAGAAAAAAAAAAAGAGATTAAAAACAAATCCCAAAAAAGTTATCCCGGAAATTAAAATTCCCGCCCTCTGACGCTGATGATTGTCTTGTGTAGGCGTCATCTCGGCGGGCGTGTCCGTGCCGGTGCAAATCCCCAGCCAGGGCGGCACGGACTACAGCTGCTGGCCGCGGCTCCAGTGATCCGAGCTGTCGCAGCTGTTCAGTGGCGGCCTGTCCGGCCTGTCCGGGCTGTCGGCCGCCACGGCAGCTGCAGTGGCCACGGCCGCGCGCCTGCTCCCGCAGCCCCAGCACGCCTACCAGGACTACGCCAGGCGCGCGCCCGCGGCCGCGTACGACGGCCTCGATGGCCAGGGTCCGCAGGGCTCGCCGCCGGCCCCACACCAGTGAGCCCGAGGCCGAGGCCGTGACAAAGACACTCGCCCCGGCGCACCCGCGCTGCGGTGCGCCGTGCGGCCCTGTAAGTATCGAAGTGTTTTGTGATATTTGTGATCGCTGACCCGGCCGGGTCCGGCGCCGGGCGCGCGCCGCCACCGCCACCATGTGCTGCCGGCCGCCCGGACCGACCCGCTTCCGGTCACGACGATAGGCTTTTCTGATCCGAATCAAACTCAAGTAGTCTATCAGGCCCGAGTGAGAGCCTCGCCTCCCCCTTCTCTCCTTCCGCTTCGCCTCCACTTCTGTCCAGAGTGGCACCGCGCAACGCAACATCTGCCGCACCCGCGGGGTGGAGCGCTCGTGTGTGCGTTCACTCCTCTCATTAGATTTGTTGTCCGAGTCGATTTTTGCGTGGTTTCCTTCTTGTGGTTATAGTAAAAACTCTAAGATAGAAATATGCGGCACACATCTTCTTGCGACTCATACCCGCCTTATTAGTTCACCGCGCATCCCAAACTTTACTCGACGGCGGAGTTTTCAGAAATCATTATTTTAAAAATCCGTATTTTCCAGAGTTTTAAGCCTTAGCCTTGAATAGACGAGACTAGAACCAAAGCGCAAATTAGTGTAGACTCGTTCCGTTCGCAGTCTTGATGTTCAATGTCTTTTAATTATTAAAGAGTCATCGTGTTAACATGTACATAAGAGATGGTAACTGTGACCATTTCAACTGAAAATGTCACTGTCAAAATTATATTTAACTTATTTGTTAGTTTACTGTTTCTTAATACAAGCACAGAGTCTCGTAATAAATGTATAGCTATATTTAAGGATGCGTTTATTTATGCCTGTAATCTATGTACATACACTTGTATGTAAGTACGGATCTTGTGATGGTCGTTTTTGTAGCACATGCATCATAAACACCTCTGTACAAAAATGTGATGCAAGCAGAATTTGCCAATGTACATATTTATCATTTTTTGAAATGTGTAGATGTTTTGTAAATTTTGTCAATCCAAAAATGTTTTATTTCCTTAATCAATACACAATTTAATTGTTGTCAATAATATATATTGCTGTGATTATGATAATTTATGTTATGAACTGTGCTGTTTAGCATGTGTAGGAAGAATAAACAAATATATTCACAATTCATGATTCTTCATGGATTTATTAAATGGAACGGTAAGTTGTTTTATTCACCCCATTGATTACAGTTTAAATAAATGGAGCGCAAATATATACCTGCAACCACAAAATCCAGTTTTGTAAACTGTAATCGACACAGAGCTTATGGAAGATCACAAATTATAAATTACCTACTCTACTAAAGTAAGCTGGTAAAAATTCCGTACAAAATGTAAAATCAGTCTGAGTTTTGACAGTAATTTCAGTTACATGCAGAAGTCTATAGAGCAAAGTAACACACGTTTCTAGCAGAGATTTTCTTGCACCAATCAAAAATCATTCTGTTTCATAATAAATTTACGCCATGTTTCTCCATTTTACGTTACACAAAAGACTAGAGGGTCAATAGAAAATAAAAGCACTAGGTAAGTTATGAAGGACCACTGTTTTTTTTTCCCACACTCCTATCACATTTAAAAACATCACTAAAATGTGTAAAACTTACAATTGAAAAAAATAATTGGTACAAAAATAAAAGTACAAAAATATTTGCATTGATTTTGAGCAATGATGGGCCCCAGATAAAACAGTTCAGTCGCATCCGCAGACATACACTAGGCCTGGTTGGGCGGCAGTAGAGACAAAGTGTCTATCACAGATGACGGCCTCCTCCTCATCCCCGGGTCGGGAGGGAGGAGATGCTCAGCAAGGCAGGCTCAGCGGGCACGCAGCCGGGTGCTGAACCAGTCCGAGACGGAGCGGCGCAGGGAAGAGCCGGGCGGTGCCGAGCCAGGCGGCGGCGGCGGCGTCTCGAACACGTCGTCGTCGCCGACCGAGCCGTAGCTGTAGGGGATGCGCGAGGTGACGCGCAGCGGCGTCCTCGCCGTCGTCCTGGCGCCTTCGTGGGGCCGGGGCAGCGCCAGGGGCGGCGGCCCGCGCGACGAGGGCGGGAAGGGCGAGCGGTTCGCCTGCCGGATCTGCTGCACGCGCGTCCCGATGACCGCCATGAGGAACCACAGCAGCGCCAGCAGGCCGTCTGCAAAAGGACAGTGGAGGGTCAGCGGGAACCGAGGTGCTCCACTAAAAATTCAAGCATACACAGATTTTTCTTTTTTTCCCCTGACTTTTTCTCTTATATTTGGGGTATTTTTTGGACTGTGTACACTGATTAATGTGATTATTTTGAGGAGTGAAGTACCTCAACCGAGAACAGTCACACTAAAAACGCAACTCTTAAATGTGTGTAAATGTCCATGCGTTCACTGAAGACAGTAATATTGTGAATTTTCCTTCGACACACACCTCCTGAGCCTCCATGTGTGCGAATGTCGTCCAGTGTGCGGAATTAACACACTTGGGTTCCCGGTGCAGCTTGGCCTCGATGTGGGTCAATCGCCGTTTTCAACCCACCAAGTTCAGCCAATGCAAAGGCTCATGGCGCCTGATGGGTAGGCAACATCCCACCTGCAGTGCATGTGTGTACTGCGGGGCGGCCTACCCCGAGTCTCGCAGGCGCCGAGCTCCCGTTATTTGCCGAAGTAACACGAGAAAAGCGGACGTACTTTTTGGAGAATCCCTACGATGGCACCCCATAAACAGTTGCCGAGCAGCACATTTCAAACATCTAGCGAGGAGGCGACTAGTTGACTGACCCTCAGAGACCCTCCCATGACTGACTTGAGACAGCGAAAGATCCCCTCGCCATCCGACTCGCACCGGTCTGATCCACCGACTTGACCCGACCGCCGGCCGCAACACCTGCTCGGTGATTGCTTGCTGCCTGCTGCGGGATCCTCTTTCTCTCTCTATCGAGGGAGGAGTATAGCGGAGGAAGTTTTCTTTTAAAGGGGTGTGTGGCAAACACGCATTGAGAGGAAAATTTAACAGCGTAGATCAATAACTGTCTATAAATAAATAACTAGTTTTCGGAGCTATGCAGCTAAAACGTTAGCTGGACGACTCAACGTTACGCGTTACACAGCTAAACGTTTGACTATTTCTAGGTTTCCAAATATACGGCTAATGTTTTACTCTCCGGGTGAGAAAACGGGCAATTTTCCAACGCCATTTTTAAAGAAAGGTCTGTTTGGGTTCTAAAATAACAGCTGGGCCTTGAGTACTAATACCTCCTAGCCACCGGGGCATGCAAACTTAACACTATTTGGATTTTTGGGGGTTCATATCTCCTAAACTCTTAGAGTAACAAAAGTTATGGATAGGATAACTAAAGTTTGAAACTGAATTTTAAATTGAAGTTATCCTATATTAAAAAAAAAAAAATCAACTCTAACCGTTTAACACGTTCCCGGCGGCATGAACACAATGTGGTCACGATCCCATGTTCAATAACAGGCACCAAAAATGAGCCGCAGGGAACGTGTCAAGAAATACAAACACGAAAAATTCCAAAGCATATGTTAAGTTTGCTTGCTCTGCTCCCCAGTCCTGGCCGCAGCCCTCCTAGACCCCTGGACTCACCTGTGGTCTCGAAAGGCGGCTGGATGACGGCGAGCGAGAAGCCCGGGACGGAGGCGCGCCGCAGGGTGTTGATGACGATGTACTTGAGGTTGGCGCCCAGGTAGTGGTCGACGGGCACGACGAACGCGTACGCGCCCACCACGGCGCAGGACGCGATGCACGCGTTCTGCTGCAGCGGCAGCATGAGCGCCAGCAGGCTCAGCACCACCAGGACGAACGTCAGCCAGAAGTCGAGGTCCATCTGGGCAAACTGCATATCCCCTGCGAGCACAAACAAAAGCTACTAAAGAGAAAGAATTTATTTTTTTTAATACAATTTTTTAATTAACCCTTTGGAACTCGTTGTAGAAATTTTTAAATGTTACAAAAACTCAAAATTAGGCGATGCCTTTCAATAAAATTTTCAAATTTAATTATATAAATAAAAAGTTGTAAGACAGTTTAAATATTTTACCAAGTCCAACAAAGAAAGCGAGGGAGGCCGCCAGGAATCCCATTGGTGTTACCAGCCAGATGATCGCCATCACAGGGATACCGCTCATCCACCAGAAAAACAAGAAGCTTGCCCCAGCGCCTATACCCACCACACAGGACAGTGTGACACTTGCTGGAAATCAAAAACATTTTGTAGAGGAAATTTCAGGAAACACAAGTAATTATACATCTTAACAAATAAAACATATTAAATGGAATAAATATGTAAGTAGTTCTTGAAAGACTTACATCCAAATGGAAGTGTTGCCAATTGCGAGAGTCCAATATAGGCTACAAGACTTCCCAACATAAATCCAGCCAGGAACAAAACAGTTCTAAAAAACATGTAACCATAAAAACATGTGAAGAGACCTAGAAATAGGACTGTGGCACAGAGAACCTTTGAAAATGTAGTACCTGGAACCAAGTTTTGGAAACAGTTTAGTAAAACTAAGATGAATAAATAAAATTGAAAAAAACAAACATATGAAAGCCATAGTTTTTTACTTAAAACAGAGCAGGAGTCAGTGAAATATATAGCACTACAGCCATATGTAACAGCCGGGACATATGCTGATGATCCAGAAAGAGAGCGTGCGAGGACCACATAAACTGATCCAGTACCAGCATATAAACTGTAGAGTCTTCTCATTATTGATCCATAAGTAGGAACTGGAGACTACAAAAAACAAAGAGATATATTATTTTTGCAATATTAAAAAAGAACTCAATTTTACAATCTAAATCATTGTGACTAGCTTATGACAGTATTGGTCACGCAATAACTTACCAGAGAGCCATTAGATATTATGTCATTTGGAGTCAACATACTTTGGATTGATAAAAAGTATGCTTCTGGACTGAAATCTTTTTCTGGTATGTACAAGCGGTACACATCATAAGAAACCATGTCTAGCGCACAGGATCGACCAGGAAGTACTGCAGGCTGGGCAGTCACTTCTACCATAGCATCACTGTAGGAAACCTTCAAGAATGGAGCAATCTCAACTTCAAATTCCATGTTGCATCCACCAGGAATAGGAGCTGGAATTTTTTTTAAAGCATAGTTTACAGTAAAAATATATTTTTTGAGATGGGTATAATGACATTGATTTTTTAAAGTACTTACAATAGGCCCCATACGCAACAATTGCATACATTACTGTCACATTTTCTGGGTTTGGATTCATCACATAGAAAGTACCTTTTCCTTTATTCGACATCCATACAAGCCCTGTATTTGTTCCATTGACATAATTATGAGGTATCAGAGTACTATTGTACGATAGAGAAATGTTATGTAAGTGGGCATGTGCTTGGAATGTATAAAAGCGAACGTCTGCTGGAGCTGGGGCAATAGAAATTGCTACTGTTGCTGAGGGTTCGAGAGTATGTATGCTCCATTGGCTTTGATTGTTGGGATTGTAGAAGTCCAAAGATAAAGTTATTGAGCTTGGATCACCTGCGACAACAGATAAAGAATCAGGTTGTTTAGATTAATTCTAAGAAAATTTCATTATGCGTTCAACCAGATGCATGTCCCAATTTGCGAAAAAATCAGTCAAAATGACAGGTCTAATTTTTGTAATAAAATTGGAAGAAGAGAGGATGATTTTTTTCAAAAAATCTGAATGTTATGTAATGCAAGAGGCTGAATGATGGGCACCATAACCAAGCAAAAGGAGGTTAGGTTTTCTTTGACGAAACAAGAGGGAGAGTACAAAACAGTCTTGTCCAAGGGCCCAACAAGTCAAATAAGGTTATAACTGTCCCTAAAAAAGTAAAAATGGCATTTGAAATCCGTGCCGTGACGCCTGAATGACTTATCTGCTGACCTCGGACGGTGATGCCTCCACTCCACAGCAATATGACAGCTAGCGAAGAGAGCAATTTTCCCGGTGTACAACATTTTCCGAGCGCTGCGGGTTTCAGCATCACCTCGAAATTATTGCCCGATCGAGTCCCTAACGTTGATTTCAGGCTTTGTCGTCGGTCTTGCCCATCTCAGCACCACCTGACACAATAAACACAAACACCACGGAGCCCCTGGGATCGGGATCAGGGATCGGGGGACAGAGGGGGCGGGCGCAAGGGGGCGGGCAAGGCGGGGTGCTGAGGGGGAGGGGTGCGAGGGGGGGTGCCCTGCCCAGTCGACAGTCGCTTGTTTTCCAAAACAGCAGCCGCCCTCCTCAGTGTACCACCGTGATGGCAGCCACGGATCAATGAACACTGGACTGTGTCCAACAAAAATGCCTATTTTACGTGTGAAACTTGTTTATTTGGCCGAGTGAAGGGAAATTTGATGGGCCATGGGAAAGGATCAAGATCTCCTGGAGGCGGCACGGAACGGAAACATTGCCGTCGTCGAAAAAATACTAAGTCAGAGAGCCAAGAGGAGTGGCCCTTTAGCGAGGTAAGAAGTGTCAAAAAACGGCTAATCAGCCCTTGTTTTTGTTGTCCCGACAATATTCGCGTTATAATTTCTGCCTGTATTGTTGTCTTCGGCTCAAGTAACGGATTGGTGGCCACCGTCTGACAATTTTATGTCAGGGAGATAGGAATATTCTCCAAGAAAAGTGGTGTAGGTTAGGGGGCTTCTTGTACGGTAAACACACCCTTTTCGATAATCATTTATTTGTGTGGGCATATTAGAGTTTTAGCCTTGTTCGAACACCCATTTAATTGGAAATATTTAATTTATTGTCGAACCGAAGCCACTGTACGTAGTTCAGACCGGTGGAAAAGGGGATTACTTTTTATTTGCAAGGATGTTGATTGTCTTCTGCTACAGGATTTTATTAAGGCCTACTCGATGTGAAGTTATTTGTCTTACGAGTGAGAGCATTTGATAATTTCCCCCTATATCAGCCTCATGTATTTACTTGATATTTTTTCTTGCTATTTCATTCTTTTAATATTGAGTTTTATTGTTCATTTTTAACACATGGTGAGGTTATGGTTATCATGATTGTGTTCCATAAGGTGTTCTAGTTTCCTATGAACTTAGTTTTGTGGTACATAAAATGTTGTGTCATAGTCTAAAATTATCTGGAGAACGTGCTCTTTGGTTCTGACTCACCATCATTACGTTTCAGGACCTTTCTCACTTTGGAGAATGATTTATATTTATGGTAATTATTAGGCTTGAGATTGTCTTTGTTTGCTTTCATAGACTCATATGGTTAGCTGATTGGTTGATGTAAGTTTTCTTTTCTGCGCACTGATACCTTGTTCCATTTTCTTTGTAATACTCCAGTTATTGAGTGTGATGTAAACATCAGGAACATCAGCCTTTATGAATGACACTAATTGTAAGATACTCAATCGCATCCCATTGATTCTGTACTAAATCAAATTTTACGTATCTTCGCTGCAGTCATTCTATTTCCGTACACCTATAATTTGTTTGCATTCATTCGAGAACAATATTGTGGGCTCAATCCATTGAGTTGAAAAACAGCGGGCCTGATTGTGGCTCGCGAAGCTTCTGCAAATATTTCTACAGGAGTATATTTAAGCTGGTGACTGGTCGTTCTCTTGGTCCGATCAAACTCTAGAAAAGATGCCAGCGCTTCTTGCTCTTCCAGGCTGAATCTGGCATGTCTGTTACGAGGATGGGGGGTGGGACAGAATGAGACGGAGTTGGAAGGGGTTGTTTGGCTGAGTTGAAGACATAGAGATGAGTGGCTGTGCAGGATTCTAGGAAAGAGGCCAACAACGCTTAGAGGGGCGATGACTGCTGCTGAGGGTGAGACAGAGATGGAGG